GGAGATTAGACATACATCGGGAGATTAGACATACTTCAGGTGATTAGAGATACAGTTTTACACAATTTCTGCCGGGTATGTTTACTCTGTATCTTGTCCGCTGTATGTTTGCACCGTAGCTTTACACTGTGTGTTTACAGGGTATGTTTACGCTGCATCTTTACACTGGGTATGTTTACACTGTATGTTTGTAGGATATCTTTACACTGTATGTTTACACTGCATCTTACACTGTGTGTTTACAGGGTATGTTTACACTGTATGTTTGTAGGATATCTTTACACTGTATGTTTACGCTGCATCTTTACACTGGGTATGTTTACACTGTATGTTTGTAGGATATCTTTACAATGTATGTTTACACTGCATCTTACACTGTGTGCTTACAGGATATGTTTACACTGCAGCTTTACACTGCATGTTTACCGGGTGTGTTTACCGTATATGTTTACACTGTTTGTTTATACACGGCATCTTTACAGTGTATGTCAACCGGGTATGTTTACACTGCATCTTTACACTGTATGTTAACCGGGTATGTTTACACTGCATCTTTACACTGTATGTAAACCGGGTATGTTTACACTGCATCTTTACACTGTATGTTAACCGGGTATGTTTACACTGCATCTTTACACTGTATGTTAACCGGGTATGTTTACACTGCATCTTTACACTGTATGTTAACCGGGTATGTTTACACTACATCTTTACACTGTATGTAAGCCAGGTATGTTTACATTGATATGTTTACACTGTAGCTTTACATTGTATGGTAACCGGGTATGTTTACCCCGCATCTTTACACTGTATGTTTACCAGGTATGTTTACACTGTATGTTCACTATGCATGTTCACGACTCTTGTAAACAGTTCCTCTACAGATTCGTCATTGCAGATGGGCGGCCTCTGTTCACCAACCGCATACGCAGCCGTTCTGTACAGCCTAAAGTTGAAGAGTTTAAGGAGCAGATAAACAGTGTACCTTCGACAGAGGACTGAAATAAATCCTTAAGATTTGAGTACCCGTAGACAGCAAAATGTTAATTAATTTCAGGCCTGTGATGACCTGGTAATAAACCTGTAATAATTCACCCACAGGCCACACACTTCAGCTGACTATATATGCATAACCTTGGACGGCAGCATGAATTAGAAGTGTTAAACAAACGTCAGGGTGTCCTATGTCACGAGATCAGCAACAGACCGTTCTCATCTCCTCTGTGTGTGACCTACTCCTCGGAGATATGTTAAGCACTGTCACTATTGTTTCAGTTTATGTCGATCTCATATGTATGTTTTGTAAACGTATACTTTTGACATTTATTTTCCTTTGACAAATGTGTGACACATCGCCGATACCTCATGGAACATTGTAACAAGACCAGGATCTGTTTCCCAAGCAGGTCGCAAATATAGAGTAACATTTTTATGATGCAAAGAAGCAGATGAAGTTTTAAAGCAGAACTCAAATAACTGTTAATGGAAAAAATGACAAGATATCTGACTACATATCCCATCTTTGCTACTGTATTTAGTTTGAGCATTTGAACACATAAACAAATGTGTCTTACAAACATTTGGCAGGGGACTCACTGCGAGGGCTATGTAAATACATCTTGTGATTACTGTAGATTATGCAGCTAATTAAAAGGTTTCTGGAATACAGACAGCAAAAGGAAGCCGAAATGAAATGATTTAAACGTTATGTAATAATAGCTCTGATATCAGTGTAAGTGAGTGAGTGAGTTTAGTTTTACGCCGTACTCGGCAATATTCCAGCTATATGGCAGCGGTCTTTAAATAATCGGATCTGGACAAGACAATCCAGAGATCAACAGCATGAGCATCGATCTACACAATTGGGAACCGATGACATGTGTCAAACAAGTCAGCGAGCCTGACCACCGATCCCGTTAGTCGCCTCGTACGACAAGCATGGGTTACTGAAGATCAATTCTAACGCAGATCTTCACGGGTTATGTCAGTGCATTGATTTGAACACTTTGAAACGATTTGATCGTTACGAAATGAATGTCATCAGTTGAATGTTAAAATGAGTTAACGTGTGAAATTCTAAGTTAAATACTAGATTAAGACATATGACAAGTACCCTTATTATGATTTAGTTAAGAAAAATGTGAAAAATGACGCATCATGCCAATGTGGACATGAATGTGAGAATGGTTTTCATTACTTCCTTGAAGACCATTGTATAGTATTCAAAGACATAAACTGTTAACATCTTTAGAAAATATTGTTAAAAATAGAACACCGATTGACATTAATCGTATCTTACATGGCAACGCAGCTCTCTAAAATATGTACATGTCTATAACTCCCAAACTAAACGTTTCCCAGTTAACTTCAGTTGTACATATCTTCGCATATGTCTGTCACTTGTGTACATTTTTGTAAGATGAGTGTAATTATAGGGCGAGTTTTTCTAAGTTGCATAACTTGTGTCCAATCCTTTTCTTGAATGAATAAAACATGTTTGTAAAATATGTCAATCAACTTAGTGATTTTTCCTGTGCCTGTTGTTATATATGTCCACGTTTATACTGTATTAAAGTGTGCTTACCGTTTCCTCGGTGTACAACCGGACAATCTGTACATAGGTAGACAAACAGGATCATTCACCGAAATGCGTGCCATGTAAGTTTGGTGCTGACAAAACAAGGATCAAACCAACCTCTGATCCTTGTACAGATAAGGGACGTTACTCTAGACGCCCATATCACCCATGTCCCAACCACTAACTATCCTGATGAGGAACTACTCTTCGTCATGTCAATAAGCGACATAACGTCAAAACAACCCGACCTACCCGGGCGTATCATGTATTCAGTGGATGTTGGAACATGAACCAATCACCACGTGTCGCCAATGTTGTGTATGTAAATTAGCGTTGTTTTAGCATGAAATACACACCATGTAAATTTACACACGTGCAAAATATATATTTGCATGACCAGTTACAGCGTAAAGTATCCCAGAATATGTACAACCGTATGAATAATATTATCCAAACTACGGTGAACATTTATTGGATTTTACCAAAAAATGCAAACGTTATCACAACCTTAGTTGGCTGAAAACAGTCGCAAATAACAATAGAAATTTTATTTCCAAAACACAACTATTCTAACCGAATCAAATATATCAGCCTGCAAAAACAATAGTTTGTTTGTTAATTTTTCAACCACCACCCAAACTCTATATGCTTTGTTTTGTACTGCAGTATTCATGAAACATGCCTAAACCATATCAATAACATGTGTACAATGCTGGGACTTGCCCATGCTACACGTGTCAAAGATAAAAAAAAAGCTCAAAGCCGTTCCCAACTGTTACTGAAGATAATATCGGCGGCCCCAGTCAAACAATACAAGTCTCAGGCGAATGACCTGGTTTGACACAGTCATCGGCTTTGCGCGGACGTCTGAGAACCACTAGCTTTCAGTTAGCCTAATTACTGCATTTATATTTCATTTTCATGATCACTCTAATTCATTATCATAAAAAACCCGTATATTGACATTAATGAGGGTGGTAGTATTTATGCTATTAGTGCTGGTGTTTTCATTATTATTTGTTATCATTATCAGTCGTTCAATTTAATTCTCTTTTCAGTAAACACAAAAATCTATGATAAAATTTCATGGAGTCTATACAGGTTCATACAGCATACATTGGCCTGAACTGGCACCCTCAACAAGCCTGGATCTCAACGGACAAACATAACACACATGGGATCCAAACAGGCACTTTCAACATATTAAGCTGGCGCCTACATGAAAGGTATAAAACTGGCTCCTGCAACAGGCATGGAGTATAAACTGGTTCCTACAAACACTGTGAATAAACTGGTCCTACAGCAGGCATGGAGTATAAACTGGCTCGAACAAGCACGGTGAATACATGAGCTCCTACTGCAGGCATTTAATATAAACTGGCTCCTGTAATCATAGAGCATAAGCTTGCTCATACCAGAAACATGGAGTAAGAACTGGATCCTTCGTCAAGCATGAAGTATGAACTGGCTCCTGTAATCATAGAGCATAAGCTTGCTCATACCACAAACATGGAGTAAGAACTGGATCCTTCGTCAAGCATGAAGTATGAACTGGCTCCTGTAATCATAGAGCATAAGCTTGCTCATACAAGAAACATGGAGTAAGAACTGGATCCTTCGTCAAGCATGAAGTATGAACTGGCTCCTGTAATCATAGAGCATAAGCTTGCTCATACCAGAAACATGGAGTAAGAACTGGATCCTTCGTCAAGCATGAAGTATGAACTGGCTCCTGTAATCATAGAGCATAAGCTTGCTCATACCAGAAACATGGAGTAAGAACTGGATCCTTCGTCAAGCATGAAGTATGAACTGGCTCCTGTAATCATAGAGCATAAGTTTGCTCATACCAGAAACATGGAGTAAGAACTGGATCCTTCGTCAAGCATGAAGTATGAACTGGCTCCTGTAATCATAGAGCATAAGTTTGCTCATACAAGAAACATGGAGTAAGAACTGGATCCTTCGTCAAGCATGAAGTATGAACTGGCTCTTACAACAAACATGGAGTCAAACTGTTTCCAGCAAAATAGTGAGTGAGTGAGTACTATTTTACGCTGCGTTTAGCATTATTCCAGCAATATCACGGCGGGGGACACCAGAAATGGGCTTCACACATTGTACCCATGTGGGGAATCGAACCAGGGCCTTCGGCTTTAACCACTTGACTACCCCACCGCCCCTCCAGCAATATACATGGAGTACAAAAAGGCTCCTACGTCTTTCTAAAACATGTATGGGGCCAATGCCGGCTGCTACATCCATGTAAAGAACCGATCTAATCCAAATGTTCTTTTGTGTATTAGACTCTGACAAATTCTTTCATTAGAACAACCCCCTCAGCGAGAGCCTCGTTGGGGCTCACATATATGTCACTCTCTACACTGTGACACACCAGTGTCAGAGAGAAGGTCTGCATGAGAACATGGAGACGCCCGCAGCTTCAGGAGGGGGACCAAGTCCGCGGCGGTGGGCAGAGAAACTCAAGTCCTCCATCTACAGGAAGAAGGCCATCTATACAGCATGTCTGTTGTTTGGGAACTTTATGTCGGTGAGTTTTGTGAGCTTGTACGCATTGTTACGGATGTGTCACGACCGTGTTTGTATGTGTCATAACTGTTTGTAGTCGTATGACTGTGTTATGACTGTAATGTGGTATGTGTTGAAGACTTGCACTGACCACATCATGTGCATGACATGTGTATACATGGCATATCATTATTGTTAAACATTGTGTCCGATGACATTCTCTACTTGTATCATCAATGTTTGATAGAGATTTAAAAACACACACTCATGATATTTGTGGAACTGTACAATCGACACTGTTTTAGCAGAGATTTCCTATGGCCGTAGAACGGGTTTAGTTACGTTACTACATGACACTTTAAGGTTACACTTTGCAAGCCCACCTTAAGAGATACTAGAAACTAATATGAAATGCCTAAACTGTCTTTTATTAAAACAAAATGTATCTATGTATCCTGCATGCAGAGTTAAAATTTCCGATTCGTCCAAATACCGATGATGGTGGGTCTGCACAAAAAAACAAAGACATGTTAGTTGTTTCCATCGGCCTACGGTAACGAAACTGTTCACAAAATTTATACTTTACTTTAAGATATTCTTACAAAGCAACGTCCATCCAAAACTACTTGCACAACAAACAAATCAGTAGTAGTAGTAGTAGTAGTAGTAGTAGTAGTAGTAGTAGTAGTAGTAGTAGTAGTAGTAGTAGTAGTAGTAGTTGTAGTAGTAGTAGTAGTAGTAGTAGTAGTAGTAGGAGGAGGAGGAGCAGCAGCAGATGCAGCAGCAGTAGCAGTATAGCAGCCACGGCAGCTAATGGGATTTCTCCCAGGAAGCGCTGCCTAGTCCAACCCACCACTCTCCTAATTTGCGTCTAGAGATCAGGTAGTACCAAACCAAGGGCACCGAGAACAATGGGGAGCCAGATGACAATGTATTTGGGATGCAAGCGAGACATGCGAGGCCCGCATATTTGCCATGTTTTTTCCACAATCTTGTCAAACACGAAAATTCAATGTCATAAATAAGATAAAAAATGGACAAGGTCAGGTTGTGTTGTCGAGGATACGTCTGAGGGTGCAAATGGGCCTAATTGTCATTTTCCATGACATCCCCAAGATATTCTGAGTCGTAACATTGATGGTCCACTGAGTCAAAACCAAAAGCATGGCGAAGGCAGTAATAAAAGCCACACAATAATGTCGCTTAAGACATCGTGTTTGTGCCAAAAGCTGGGCGTCCACCTACAAAGTTTTGGGCTGTCTCCTTAAATTCATTAAGTAATCTATACTACTGGAATAAAGTAACTGTGCATTATTTGATGTTTTGCCATTTTTAATACAAAACATAATATCATGATTTGTGGTGTTTAACTTAATCAATATTTAACTGCTGACAGGGTAATATCCCAATCTGTATGATTTTATACTGGGCCTCGTGACACGCCCTTGAAGAGATGTGATGTCAAAAGTCAGTTCACAAATTCAGTATCGTGTGTGTCCACCATTGGCGTCGACGCATAGACGACACTAAGCGATTGAAGAAAGCTTGGGGAATGTTGTTCCATGTCTGAAACAACGCTTGTCCCAGTTCAGCTAACGTCAATGGCTAACGTCAATTCGGGGCTTGACGTAAACGTCTCTCCATTTTATGTCAAGCGTACTCGATGGGGACAGGCCCGGAGAAACAGCTGGCCAGGGGAGTACCGGAATGTTCTGCTGTCGGTTACGTCTCTGTCCTTGAATGCGCATGAGGTCAGTGATGTCATCCCTGTATCATCAGATTGCCATTGACAATGAAAAGTTGTGTCAGACCATGAGATGTGATGCCCCATACCATAACGCTACTGCCACCGTTGAACAAAGCACGCGTATACATACCGTTCACCGCGCCCTCTGTACACCCTTGCCCTGCCATCTGAGCTGTCTGGCCACTTCAGTTTGGGCCATTCCAGTATCCATCATACCCACGGCGTGGGGACGCTGATTTTCTGTAAGCCGTGGCATAAGCGTACTCGCAGTTCATGTTGAAATTAACGTGTTTTCCACAACATTCAGAGTTTAGAGAATAATCCACCTGTTTTCAATTTTCAATATCACAACAAAATGTGTGAACTTCAGGTGTCAAAAGCATTCAAAAAGTGAGTAAGATCATTGTGCACGTGTTTTCCACAACGCAGAGTTTACGATACCGTTCTTCAATTTTGACATCAAATTTCAGGTGTGCAAAGTGTCTGGCTACATGTTTATTTAGTGTTATGTTTATATGTTTATTTTTCAAATAACTTTTATTTCATTTCAATTTTTATGTTATGCACAGTTACTTTTTCCGTTCAGTATACAATTCATATTTTCACATCATCGTCATTATGCAAGTCGTCGTCGTTGTCGTTGATGTTGTTGTTGTTGTTGTTGTTGTCAACACAACACAGATATTCGCCCAGTCCATATCACATTCAACGTGACATGTATAATACGAAATGGCTATGAATTTGGTTTATATGCTTCACGTATCTTTTCATGAACCTTAATGTGTACGGCATAGTTCATCTTCTCTATATGGAAGAAAGAAAACACGCTTTGAAATAGAATACATCTCCCTCCCTGATCAGTCAACATGGGGAGTCATGGTTGTGTCATGTTGGCCCGCGAAGTAAGTTTACTTCTCGAATTACTTCAATTATACACTGCAGGCGAGAGAAGCAATTTGTCTCTATGTCTCAGATCGACAGGGTTGACATTTAATTATCTAGTAGATTGTGGATATTTGACACCCCAAACGTGACACCATATACAGTGCTGGCTGCAGCACTCACAAGAGATCGCCAGCACCAGGGTTTAGGCATTTGTATTTTGATGATCATGATAAAGTTCGCGTTTCCTGTTGACTGGGTTGTGTCCTATTGTGCAACTTTGTACAATAACCATTCCAGAATTTTCAGACCAATTCATTTAACTAGATACATAAATATTAATCAGTATTATTTGATATATCCAAGCACTTGTATATTGCAACACTACGCTTCTTATCACCCTTTCAAACATGTCGTGCAGCGTGCTCTGTCGTACAGCAAGCTCTGACAAACAGAAACCTGGAAATCTCCAAAAGAGGCTCTGCCGCTAGAAAAGTTTGGCTGTCTGGTACGGACTTGATATGAAATCAATCACATTGTGCGTTACAAAACTGCACTGAATAAGCGCAAAAAATACATAACAGGTGTAACCAGTGAGCCAGATGCATTGTGAATCATTTCATGACCTCATCAAACTGGGGCAGTCTGTGACGTCTTAGTTAAGGCCATGCTGCCTACACCCATAAAATATAGAAATACGATGTTATTAAAGTTTAAAATTAAAACTCATTTAAAAATACCATTTTTCTCATGACACAAGAAATTGGAATTCAGTGTAACCATAGTTGTTTGTGATGTCTTTTTTTCACTTTCACGCGGATCGGCTGAAAAGTAGGTCATTGTCTGAATAGGTTAATGAGACTCATGTCTCGGTTTTGCTGAAGAATTTCTGTGGAAACATTATCCAATGAGCGCGAAGCAAAAATATACTTTTATACTGGATCGCTGAAAATCATCGATGACACCAGGTGTTCTTGAAACGAGAGCAAGCCCTACCTTGCCGGTAGCACTCGCCACTTACATCGTAATTAATACACGTATCTATGTAAAAGTACCTCTTATGACACCAGGTGTTCTTGAAACGAGAGCAAGCCCTGCCTTGCCGGTAGCACCCGCCACTTACACATCGTAATTAATACACGTATCTATGTGTAAAGTACCTCTTATGACACCAGGTGTTCTTGAAACGAGAGCAAGCCCTGCCTTGCCGTAGCACCCGCCACTTACAACATCGTAATCAATACACGTATCTATGTAAAAAGTACCTCTTATGACACCAGGTGTTCTTGAAACGAGAGCAAGCCCTGCCTTGCCGGCGCACCCGCCACTTACAACATCGTAATCAATACACGTATCTATGTAAAGTACCTCTTATGACACCAGGTGTTCTTGAAACGAGAGCAAGCCCTGCCTTGCCGGTAGCACCCGCCACTTACATCGTAATTAATACACGTGTCTATGTAAAGTATCTCTTATGACACCAGGTGTTCTTGAAACGAGAGCAAGCCCTGCCTTACCGGTAGCACCCGCCACTTACAACGTCGTAATTAATACACGTATCTATGTAAAGTATCTCTTATGACACCAGGTGTTCTTGAAACGAGAGCAAGCCCTGCCTTACCGGTAGCACCCGCCACTTACAACGTCGTAATTAATACACGTATCTATGTAAAGTATCTCTTATGACACCAGGTGTTCTTGAAACGAGAGCAAGCCCTGCCTTACCGGTAGCATCAGCCACTTACAACATCGTAATTAATACACGTATCTATGTAAAGTACCTCTTATGACACCGGGTGTTGATGAATGTACTGCACAACCAATAGCACAAGCAAAGTTCTGGTTAGCTTTTGAATAAGTCCTGGGAATATTTATTCAAGTTATTTTAGAGTGCTCAGCTAAGCTAAGGGCTGTTTCCTTAGACGTTTTGATAATCAAATCTGCAAACCATGAGCGGCTTGTTATGAAAACGTTTTTCATTGAAGGAAAGACAAGGACAGGACAACAGTCAATGAGCATATTATATGAGATTGTTCATGTAAACCACCGGAGAAAGGAACATATACAGACATGTCTGAAGATAGATGAAACCAACACTCTCAATAAAAATGTGTTTTGGATGGTGATGCATTTGATAAGGGTGTCGCACTTGTGGTTTAGACGTTAAGCACGGTTTTGGGTACTATTTCAGTCTTGTGAAGTTTAGATAACATTTTCATATTGATACTTTTTGTCAAAGTTTAAGTGTAGACATTATTTTGACCAGTTGTTTATCAGCAACTTATTTGCTGCGGTACAGTGTTCCTCATTAGTCTACAACCCGAGAAAGGTTCATCCTTACCAAGAACATCTGCCAGAACTAAAGGGACATTACAAGTTGTTCACTGGTCTCGAGGGGGACATTGGCTGATGTACCCTCGATGTTTGTTTATGTTCCCTGAGCCCGATGGGACCAGTGAACAACGTATTTATCTTACCGAACACCTCAATGGTAATTTTGAACTGTTTGAAGCACGGGTATCGGATCATAGTATGGTGTACAAGACGACAAGAAAAACAAACTTAGAGTTATCTCCCTTCCATCGATTTGCATTCGCAAAACATCGGTAATTTCTGTACGTCACACGTGATTCAATGTTATTCGAGGTAAAGAATTACCACTACGAAGTACAAAATGAGTCTGGCATTCCCAGTGGGGTTAATAGAAAATGTTACTCGCTTGTAAGCGGGGTACATTGAAAATAATAGAAGAGCGCTCAGCCAATCAGAAAACGACATTTATGTGTGAGGCAAGATAACATTCAATGTTCACGATTCCTTTATCCAGAAATTTGGTAATTCGGGCGATTAAATGATTCGGCACTGTCTTAATAAACCAGCCAATTACTGTTGTTGAGCTTATACAGGGGCGATGGGGTAGCACAATGGTTAAAGCCGAAGACCAGGGTTCAATTCCCTACATGAGCACAATCTATGAAGCCCATTTCTTGTGTTCCCCGCCGTGATATGCATATAACGAACTAGGGTTGGAACGAGGTCCCTTTAAGTTCGTTCTAACCGTAGTATACTGTACTCACTCACTCACCCATTCACTCACTCTGGTGAGTAAAGGCGGAAGACCCGGGTTCGTATCACCACATGAGTACAACCTATGAAGCCCATTTCTGGTGTTCCCTGCCGCGATTAGGCTGGAATATTACTAAGAGCGGTGTAAAACAATACTCACTCACATTGCACGTACGTCATAACCCAACAGTAGTGACTTACCGTCTCATGTACTTTATCCAGGGCTGGATCAACGGACAAAGAGGACCCTCCCTTCTGGATCTCCAGCTCATCACGGGAACCGACATGTCCCAAGGGTCAGCCTTCTTTACCGCTGCTGCTGTCGGGTCTCTGGTCGGAGCTGTTGCTGGAGGCGCCATCTACGACCGCTGCAACAAGTACATGTCCCTGTTCATCTCCATGGCTGGCCACGGACTGACGGTGGCGGTTATCCCCCTGTGCTCCGAGTATTGGCTCATGATCACAGTCTTTGTGGCTCACGAGTTCTTCCTGGGAATCTTCAAAACAGGTTGGTCACCAGCCTTTGTCTGTGTCTGAACAGTGTAAGGGTCCTCAGTTCACTTTGCACAGGATCATATACTAGCCCTCATCCGCTGATTGTGGGTACGAAATCCAGAGTGAGTAAATGAGTGAGTTAGTAAATATACCACGGTTAAAACTTTAACTTTGCTGATAAAGTTAGTTAAAACTAACTTTAGTTCGTTCTAATTGTAGTTGTTCAAAAGCATTTCGACTAAAATGTACAGCCCAAAAATAGTGGAACTTCGTGATCATAATAACATCGGTCAGATTGTTGTAACAGTTTATTGTATCTCTTTGTTGTTTTTACGTCGATTGTTAGCAATTGTCCTGCGGGGGACACCAGCAATGGGCTTCATACATTGTGTCCATGAGAAGAATCAACCCATGACCAGCGAACTCTTCAACCACCACCGCTTCTCGAACTGCAAATGGTTTATCATCAAGAGGGGCGGTGGGGATCCTCCACATGGGTACAAAGTGTGAAGCCCATTTCTGGTGTCCCCCGTTGTGATATTGCTGGAATATTGCTGAAAAGCGGCGTAAAACCATACTTATTTACCCAGTATCATCAAGAAATGCGTCCTCTCATATTTTTATTTACATTAGATGTCCATTATCAGTAATTGTTACTTTTACATATAATCATTTAGCTAAACCAAGGTGTGTCCGGATAAGGATAGATCCCAGCAATCTACATTTGACGTTAAAAGTGTGTTTTAGTGGATCGGGTGGTCAGGTTTCATGACTAAGTTGATTGACTGTACGACATGAATCGCTGCCAGAACTATCAATCACTGAATTGTCTGAACCAGAATATATCGGCGTGTAACAACAAACATAGCAAAGTAACAGAAACGTCGAGATTTACCTGAAATGACACAAAGTCACTCTTGGTCATTCATGTATTGTGATTAAGAAATATGTGTACAGACGTGAATTTGCCACTTTCTATTTGCTGTTTTCGTTTGTTATGTAACGCCGCACCGAGCTATATTTCATCTATACACAAAGAACTTAATTAAGCACCCCATGTATTTTTGCAATGATAGGTTTTCAACACGTACATAAAACTTCTCGTGGTGACCAAGATGGAAAAACATAATTTTTCTGACAAGTATGATCCTTTGATAAGATATGTCCAATTTAATGTACCTTTATAACATAGGAGTCAACTGAAATATTCCACAATATCAAGTGCATTTACTGTGCTAAAACAAGGTATGCCACCATAATAACAAGGCAAATGTTCAATACTCACTGTTTTCCATTGTTGTCATGCTGTACTTTCCAAAAAGTCTGTGATGCAACGACAGAATGTTTGAATCCATGTTGATTTTATGATGATAATTGCTCATTTAAAAACACACACTGATTTTTAAATAAAACCATGTCTGTACAAGTATGGCCCTGGAATGTTTAATGCTGAATGTATTGATGAATGTGAACATTCAAAATGTCATTGTGCATGTCTTACACGATTCAAGATTAATACCGAGTGTAACCTCCATGTGACTGTATGACAGCCACCACTCTCCTCCTCATTCCCCTGTCAGCCTCCTGATCCTCCGAAGGGTAAACTACGAGTACGGCAGCTACCAATTGGACCAGGTTCTGTACAGGAGGATCCCTATGTTGCACACCACGACCAATCATGTCCCAGATATGCTCAAAAGGGTTAGGATCGGGTCTCGTTCAATCGTGAGATATCTCAGAGGGTGCTTAACTAGATTCTTTGTGTATATATGAGACTTGGCAGTGCGCAGTGACCGACAGTATGACCATCGATGTGCGCACTAAGGACAGTCTTATCGCATTCACGCAAAACATTGGTCCCTGAAGACCAATTGTAAACTGTATCCTGGCGGTAAATGCTCTTTGTAGATGCTGCATTTTGTAACCGTGATTGCATAAATAGCGTTTTGTTCTTTTCCTATACCTATGATTTAGAGCAAATATACAAAATTGAAATTCATAATGAACAAATGAGGAAATATATATGAAGATAAACTGTTGTCGATTCACAAAGAAAATGTTTTTCAGCACAAATAGTTTTTATTTCTTTGACTGTATAAATAGATTACATAAGATAACAGTTATGATGCATTCCTACGTAACCTCCAGCCAATATCATCTGCAGCGCTGTGACGTATTGTGCAAACCACAGTACACAGAACTAGGACGGTTTTAAGCAGCATGTTGAGTCACTTCGTCAAAGATCATGATGTAAGCAAGACTGCACAAACAGGTAGAATTTGATTAGGCGTATTCTACCATCACTCCTGGGACAGTTTTTGAAGTGATCTGTGGCTGGGCATTTTTACGTAAAAATAATTGGTTCCGTGAAGATTGGGGTAATTAAAGAAACTTCAAAAACTTGAACCCTACCATGTTTGAATTGTTATATTTGTGCCGCGAAAACAAATATTGATTTCAAAGATAAGAACTCTAAGATTATCATTAGTAGTTGAGTTTTATGCGAAAAATGTATTTTTCATTATTTAGGGAAAGGTTCTTACAAACTTTGCAATGTTAAATTTGTAGTCATTTTCTTTGACTAAACGTCATGCGTCATGCTCGCTTAACATATCATTATTGAAAGTCAACCTCATCAAAAACTCAACTAAGAGTTATAGTTTATTTCAGCTTCTCAGTTTCGTTGCAGCTATTTGAGCACGTGGTGTAATTTATGTTTCAAATATGACCAATTAAAGTCAGTTTGCACAACTAGGAAATAACATATATACCCTTTAGTCGCATTCTGTTGTCATGAGGAAATGAGAACACAGTACTCATGTTGTAGTCTAGTTATCATGTACCATCAATACTGCTCTGTACTGGAGGTACTGAAGTATTATAACTATAAGAATGAATTGTCTTGCAGGCAGCAACGTGGAGCTACTCAGGGTATGGGGCGTTGAGAGCAAACCGTACATGCAGGCGTTCCACTTCCTGTGGTCACTAGGAGGAATTGTCTCCCCTTTTGTCCTTGAACCCTTCCTAGCCGTCAGACGCGATGTGGTTCAAAACTCAACAGGGTTAATGGCAGCCAATAACTCAGATCCCGGTGGCTTTCTCAATGCTTCAGCCATTCCACCAGAGGAGCCATTGGAAACAAGTATCATATGGCCTTTTGTGATGACAGGTTTGATGACCATCTTGTCATCACTTCCCTTCTTGGTTGTCTTCATCTTTAACAGAAAGGATGACCATGAGGAGGTTACAAAGGCACTGGATGGTAAACGACAAGGGAAGAAGTTATCCCGGAAGCTGCTAGTTCTCACGCTTGGACTTCTGGGTGTATTCTATTTCTTCTTGGACGAAGTTGAGGATTCGTCAGTGTCCTTCCTGGCATCCTATGTGGTCAAACAATTCAAGTGGACAAAGATCATGGGCGCAAGAATTACTTCGACGTTCTGGGCATCGTATGCATTTGGTCGTCTAGCCGCCATCTTCTTCATCAACTATGTCTCGCATATGAAGATATGTGGCCTGTTCTTCATCTCCCTCATTCTGGCTCAGGTTGGGATGATCTTTTCAGGAATGTACCTGTCCGATGTGGGCATATGGATCACTACTTGTGCTGTTGGGTTTTCGATCTCCATAAGTTTCCCCGCCATGCTGACATGGATTGAGAAGGACTTTGTTCAACTGTCAGGAAAAATAATGTCTGTTATCTTCGTATCCGTGGGCCTGGGTGGGATGGTGAACCCTCAGATCATTGGCTACCTGATGGAAGAGTCTACCCCTCTTTGGTACAACTATGTATTGACCATAGAGAGTGTCCTGTTATTCTTTAGTTTCCTCGTGCTGGTGTGGCTTGTCAAGAAGGTCCTGAGCATTTACCATTCTTCGCAATTTGAGCTCCCTGATAAGAAGTAAAGGCACTTCCAATGGTGTCCTCATGACAAACCATTTTGGAAGTATGTGGCGGTTTGAAATGGGGTGATTGACTTTTTGCAGGGATATAAATAGTTACTAAAATAAATGTTTTGACACACATCCGCGCGCGCACGCACGCACGCACACACACACACACACACACACACACACACACACACACACGTGCTCACTTGATTCCTCAATGATGTCGTGGAAAACAAGTTGTGCAGCTCCTCTATATTAATTATTAGATAGTCGGACCCTCACGAGGGCGATGTATTACAGGAATAGAGCCAGTGGTTACAACAATAAGAGAACAAGGCTATGTTTTGCAGAGGGTCGGCTGAAGTATCGAAACTGACCAGGCAGTACTTGGTGACTTCCGTTGAACAACACTGATACGGTGGTAAGCTGTTGACGAAATAAATATTCGCTTGCACCTGTATTTGCAACTTTATTATACACGGAATCACGGATGCTACAGCGATGCTATACAGAACTGTTAAACAGAGAAACTATCTTTGTAAAATCTTCGATTAATTCAACATTGTTTGCAGTGTCTAGGAGAATGCATATGTATGTTGTGCGGTTCATAAAGGAGACAGGGTATTCCCTAGCGTTGACGTTTTATGTCTATATTTACATACACGCGGCACTGTTCGCAATGTCCTGAAGAATCCCTTGTTATTCGTAAACAAATAGCAATCTTATTCAGGAGTCTCCAAAAGAAGATTAGGAAGTCACAAATCGAGATGGAGTTCTATTTGACTGGAATTCTTCGGATACCGTACACGCCATTGTGCCACAGTAATTGAGAATGGTCTAACGCAGCTTTTCGCAATATTCAAAGATCATCAAGGCGTGGAACCACATAAATGGGATCCACACGTTGTACACATTTGGGGAGTCGACCCCAGGCCTTCAGAGTGACGAACGAACAATTTAACCACTCGTCTACCCATAATTACGTTTTTAGGGACGGGGACTATATCTAAATTTGACCTAAAACGCATTCGTAAAACACTTACATATCAAAATTCCAGGGTGGTGGGGTAGCCAAGTGGTTAAGGCGTTCGCTCGTGACGCCGAAGACAAGGGTTCGATTCCCCACATGGGTACAATGTGTGAAGCCCAGTTCTGGTGTCCCCCGCCGTGATATTACTGGAATATTGCTAAATGCGGCCTTAAACTAAACTCACTCACTCGAAATTCCAAGCTCGTTTCATTCTGCAGTGTACAGTCTCTACAAGCATGACGTGGTTTGGATTTCACATAAAAACAAATAGCTGGTTGCACACCAGCTATCATCCCACAGACCGTCATTGCCAATCAACAGACAGTCTTGATTGAAGGTATTCGAAGGCTCCCCATCACGCCACAGAGGGTCGACCACCGGAGTATCATCCGCCCATTTCCACTCGCCCTCTACATCCGTGTCTTCCCCCCCTATCCATACACCGCCTGAAAACACAAACAGTCTTAATGATATTTGGAAACATCATCAACCGAGAACGACACAAGGGAAATCTAAGGACACCGGCAATAGGTTATAAGGAAACAAATACTGGGGAGCAAGTTGATTTCTTATTACAAATATCTCAAGTGGTCATATAATGCTCGGACATTGAAAAGGCCCGGGGCTTAGTCAGTACTCAAAGAATGCTTCAAGATTGATTTATTTCTATAAATATCCATTTGAAAAGAAATGAAAACATTTGTGTTGCTGAAGACCAATTCTTACTCGGATCTTCACGTGCCCATATATATTCGGGGTGAAGTGGTTGCAAATATATTTCCTAACTCACTACTCAATGAATCAATTTGGTTGAACAAAAAGCAAAATGTACCCAGGCACATAGTACTTTTTACAAGAAAGAGTAATGGTTAACTAGCCAAATTTAACATCAGTTCTTTCAATTTTCAATTTAATATAACATGTCCTTTTCCCCTCAGTTACGTCATAATTTATCTACATGAGCCTGTCCTTTTATTCAAGTAACAACAACTGTATCCTCAAACTTTAACATACATATTATATATTATTTACAAAGACCGAACCCTACACCTCAGAACCTCAGGTCAAACCTCCCAGTAACCTCCTTTCTCTTGACGCCGTTTAGCCCTAGTTTTCATCCTCTCGTATAGTGAGACACATTTTTGTCTACATTACAAGGAGAATTCAATCATATCGTCACCTGTGACCTTTATGTTGTGAAATGCCCACGTGATCTTGTGAGCGGTGTCAATTTGAAACAGACGACCGCCATCTGATTCACATCTAGATTTGGCGCTTGACCAGCTCAGGCTCTCTGTAGACAACTTGTAGCAGAGGGGTATCGAGGGGACGTATTTGTAGCCGGCGTCTCCAGAACAGTTGACTGTAGTATAGATAAACAGGCGTACATTGATATGTAGCAGACGTCGCTGAATGGATAAAATTGTACATGTTGCTGATCATCTCCCTTGATGTAATATGCCATTTTCAAATACAACTATTGGTCCAGGTGAGCTATTCCTTGTACACGTAACGTTCAACACTGGTTTGTCCTTACCTACTTCTCTGGCGAAATCTGCTTTGGTGAAAGACTTGTGTTACAGATGTACGAAAACATTTTTGTGAAATCCCCCAAAGCATTGAATTGTAACTGTGAGGCAATGGAAACTATACCTCCGTATTTTCTCGTGAATAAAACATAAACTAATAGTAATAGTAAACTAGGGGCGGTGGGGTAGCCTAGTGGTCAAAGCGTTGGCTCGTCACGCCGAAGACCCGGGTTCGAATCCCCACATGGGTACAATGTGTGAAGCCCATTTCATATTATGAACGGTCCCTGGACAAAACCTACCGCAAACCATGTCTAAGACACATGATCGTGGGTCAAAACATGTATCAGTTTCTTATATAAATATGCCGACTAGGCTATGTCAACTTGCTCATGTACACCAATGAATCATCACGATAATGGTTAACACAATTACAGATTGGGTTGTCCCCTGGCTTTATGAATGTTTAAAAGAGCACTGTCCCTGTGAGGGCGGTGGGATAGCCCAGTGGTTAAAGCGTTCGCTCGTCACGCCGAAGACCCGAGTTCGAATCCCCACATGGGTACAATGTGTGAAGCCCATTTCTGGTGTCCCCCGCCGTGATGTTGCTGGAATATTGCTAAAAGCGGCGTAAAACCAAACTCAGTCAGTAATAGTAAACTAAAGTAATAACTGATTATTCGATATGTTTTCAATGATAATCTCACAAATATGACGTAAACATAGGGCACCATAGGTTGCAATTTCGATGCCTGTTTTCAATTGCATACATATTTTAGTCTGGCAGGCTAGGATTTCTGCAAGGAAACACTATGCAAATGTTCTATTGTAATTCCATGTCACGCTCTCACCTCTTCCCATATTCCTGACATTTTAAACGTTTTTCATTATGTTCCAGATTTGACAACTTTTACCAAAATGTAATAACAGAATATATTTTTTATATGATCATGTATTACTATACCATAAGTCATCACACTTTACAAAAGTACAAATAGTATGAAAAAAGTATACCTATATTTGCCTTGAAATACTGTGTGCTGGGTGACTGGGTGAGACCAGGCTCCGTAGATTCCAGTATCTTATCCAACAAATAGCACCTGCCATCAGGAGTGTGAAAAAATGATAGACAGCTGTTGCCATAGTAGCACTTGTATGCACATTCTGTTTGTGATGTCATCGAAATTGGTGTGACGTCATTCACGACCATACTGGATAAAGCATTGACAATCTGGAAAACACCAGCCATTGTAATGATCAAATACCACAGATTGTACGTATTCAAACAGTTTCTGCTCTCTTCAGCACTGAGAAATGAGACGACGTTAAGTTTATGAATTGTTGCCCTTGCTGTTAATCATTGGCTCTTTAGGCAGATCCGTGATTATGTGTGGAGATTCTTGCTATAGGTGGCATAGGTCTGTTGGTGGATCACTCACTAACTTCGATGAGTTCGTGAACACCGGACGTCTCTCCGTGCCACCTTAACGCTGGCTATAGTACGAATGAGCCTGTATCGACGCTGGGAATCACGCAAGCGTCGACAACGACGTATGGCACCGCTGGTGTGGTATCAACGTATCACTGAGTAGACTCCGGCTCTGTCACCTGTCATACATGCTGTCGTTATGTTACCCTTAGTTACCACGGTGAATCAGGTTCAGTAAGATATCGATTCCAATACTTTGATCTAAAATGACATTGGTTCTGAAATTCAAAGACTGCTAGTGTTTAAAGTAAGCCACTCCTTGTTGTGAAAGGAACTTTTGACATTGTTATCATAGTGAAGATTAAAGAGACGTTTGTATGTCAGACAGATAGTATGGCCACGTTGAGTCTTTAGCAGAATGTATAAGTTCACTGTAAACATGGCAAGGAGTATTTGTGTTAATAACAAATTCTCTGTTATACAAACTTTTCAGGGCTACTCCTTAAGTTTAACTCTCTCAGGTGAATGACACCTGAATGTAACACTGTCTGTCTGACTGTCTGTCTGTCTGTCTGACTGTCTGTCTGTCTGTCCAGATACAATCGCATATGGGAAAGTGTAGCCGGTTGTGACAAGTTTTACGTTATGATCAGAACGGAATCGATGGACATTGCAGCTATTCTAGTATTGGGTATGTGGTAATGCCTTTATGAAACAGATTAACTAAATTAAGTAGATTACAATAAAATATCCCATGCACTGGGGAGGAAAAGATTACAACTGACTGGCACCATGGCTCGTCTTGTGTAGAAATCTCCTGAGAGCTTGCGCCCCCTTACGGTTGTAACTCAACAAATTGTTTTATTGTGTTGTGGGGAGATGGACTGGTTCTGATTGTTGATCACGCGTTCTGTGAGTACAGTCTTCCGGTCTTCTTCCTGGACGGGGGGGTTGTCTGTTAAGGGCTACGTCTGCCGGTTGTGAGATTTCACAAACGATTGTCCGAATGTTTTATTGTCCAAATGTAAGACATCATCTCTCACCATCCCCTATATGATGAGCAACTCATCAGCAGACTACTAACGAAAGCTGCAAGGATCAACGTCACGTTCACGTCAGACAAAATCTAATGTCGTAGAGGCATAAATACACCAACGTCCTTGACCTTGGCAATAAGGTTATTCCTCTTGTTTAAGAGAATGTTTTCTTTGCAATGTCGTTGGCTGGGTATATTTGGTTTCAGGCATACCGCTCTTTTGAGTCTTTGAACGGCATAGTTGAGTCTTTATTAAGAAGTGATACACATAAAGGCGAGTGTCTCTGGATGTCTTCTTTATTTTGAGGAACACAACGTTTCGGAGTATATCCTTGTTGTGTTCCTCAAAAACTAGAAGTTGACTGATAAAGGAGTAAGAATATACTCCGACATGTCTAGTTCCTGACAATAAAGAAATTGAGTGATGAAGGAGTAAAAATATACCCCGAAACGTCGTGTTCCTCAAATAAAGAAGTTGACACCCATAAATTCTTGCCTCAAGCTTGTTGACTTGTAAAGTGTGTTCACGAGTGATGAAGTTCTGTTTACCAATCCCTGTTAAACAAATTCCGTTTGTAGACGTTATATTTGTAACCAGCCCACTCAGCCTATAAGTCTACAGGGTGTGCGAACACCATGCCTTGAGTCACACAAGCGGATTGTGTGAGACGCGTAGGCACCATATATTCCAAAGCGTCAATTTGCTTTCTCTTGGAATGAAAATACCTAATTGAACGTATATTGAGACAGATTCTTTTAGCATAAGCATCTCATTGTGGAACAAATAAACATCGGTCTACTACTGGCACTTAAAAAAACAACATGTTCAGTACAGACTGGTCGGAATTCCTTATACATGTTCACATATTTGCACTCGGCTTCCGTCATTCAAGGACGTCAACTGCCTCTTGTTACGTGTTTAGACATACTTTTGTTGGACGAGACGAAAACACTTCAAATTTCCTTCAGGTTTGCACAAAAGAAGTATCGATTTTCGCATCAATACACAAACGAAATGAAGTTTTAGATTTAGAGGAGATTGTTGAAATAGTTTTTGATTCATACTATATATGGCGTATATATTTTTAAATGTTTTTTTATTGAATGAATTTTCAATTACAGTGAATTCCAGAAAATATTGGAATAATATGGAGAATCCGCTATTTTATGTGAATAGGTTATAGATGTAATGAGCGCTTGATTAATGGTGTTATCTTAACAATTCCTACAAAATATCATCATAATTGTGACAGTGTGAACCACTCCGTTAACTAACAAAATCTATCTAATAGAATCAATGTTTTCTCTAAGTATAACACGGTCTTTCGTATTCTTCGTCTCATTCTACTGTGACAGTGAGTGAGTTGAGTGAGTGAGTGAGTGAGTGAGTAGTTCACCCATTTTGTTCTGGGGAGGTAGGGGGGTCAGCAATTTTGTACATCAGAATCTTAAAAATAAGCTTAAACGGTGTGGGGTCATTGATTTTGTACATTACATGCAGAGCGGTCACTTTCTTTGTACACAAATTTTAGGGAGGGAGGGAGGGGGGCATTCACATTGTACATGCTACTCCATAAAAATCATCATCACACCCCCTAGTCACATATTATGAACGGTCCCTGGACAAAACCTACCGCAAACCATGTCTAAGACACATGATCGTGGGTCAAAACATGTATCAGTTTCTAATATAAATATGCCGACTAGGCTATGTCAACTTGCTCATGTACACCAATGAATCATCACGATAATGGTTAACACAGATTGGGTTGCGCCGGGCTTCATGAATGTTTAAAAGAGCACTGTCCCTGTGAGGGCGGTGGGGTAGCCTAGTGGTTAAAGCGTTCGCTCGTCACGCCGAAGACAAGGGTTCGATTCCGCACATGGGTACAATGTGTGAAGCCCATTTCTGGTGTCCCCCACTGTGATGTTGCTGGAATATTGCTAAAAGCGGCGTAAAACCAAACTCACTCACTTACTCACTGTGAACAATACTAGTCCTGGACAGTGAGGAATAACAAAATGTTATGTTCTACCAAGTCGAATGTCGGGGAACAGAGACTGCTACAATATGTATTACTGTTCAACCCAAATCATATATTATTACAACTTTTAGTTTACAACAAAATAACTAAGACGTTCTGATTGTCCAGTAAAGAACATAAGTCAGCATTTCTGTCACTGAAGATTCCATATTGATTTCCGAAAATTCCATAAGAAAGCTCTTATAGTCACACTTTACCATGATCATGTGTTTATGAATCATTAATGATACTTGTGAAGAAAATACTTGTCTGAGACCAACCTGTGCAAGCAGGGAACAGGCACCTTGCTGAAACAAAATGAAACAAATGAAATCTATACACATGGAAAAAAGTATAGCAACAACTATGATTTGTATCCCCCATATAGCCATATATATTCATATCATAATTATTTTTTGTAAAACTATTTTGACACTTCGGATGCAACATACGTTGATTTCAAATATGCATGTGCTGCGATCATAGGTAAGCATCACGTACAATACATGCACCTTTCATTAAGCAAATATCAAGTTTCACTAAACTGTTCTTACAGCTCGACAAAATACAAATCAATTGATTTCGTTACTTAGCAAATATTGGACCTCCTCAACTGTCACCTTCTCAAATATGGCACGTTACTGGTAATCCAACTAATGGCATCTCATTGATGGTTATTGCAAGAAATGTTGGTGTCATCCATTGACTATCAGCCGATTGGCCAGAAAGAATCAGCATGGTAATGACGTTCAGCTAATGGCGTTCGGGACCAGATGACCTATCAGACGTTCGCTGTTATCCCCAGAGCTAAAGGCGAGCTTTTTGTGTTAAGCCCGACGTCACTGGAATTTGAAGGAAGAGTCAATTTCTTTTGTTCTTATGCACAACGGAGAACCTTGGAGCATGTTCCGTTTGGCACGGGTTCATAGATGATGTAGGTGTGCATCTTTGTGACGATCATACAAAATCTGAATGGACAACGGTACATCACTGACGTCCAAGACAGGCTTGTGGTATCACATTTCAATGATCATCCTCTGAACACAGGGACGGTGGGGTAGCCGTGTGGTTAAAGCGTTCGCTCGTCACGCCGAAGACAAGGGTTCGAATCCCCACATGGGTACATTGTGTGAAGCCCATTTCTGGTGTCCCCCACCGTGATGTTGCTGGAATATTGCTAAAAGCGGCGTAAAACCAAACTCAGTCAGTCAGTCAGTCAGTCTGAACACAAGGCCAGTCTCCATGGACAATAGTACTAAGTCACATGGTACACGTGTCGTTGGTGATTGTTTTATGTCAAAAGGTGGCAGCAACGCTACCTTGACCCGATAGGAGTTCAGATAGCGCATGTTTGGGACATCATGGGTCTAAGAATACGAAAGCGAGATAAATCATGCACAAATTGATGGGGTACTGGAACAAGCCCTGCATCAAGAAAGGAACGCAATACCACAACGTCAAATTTAACGTCAAGATTCAGTGAGGAGGAGGGTCAGGGACGTTTTTGTACTTGGCGGAAGTTACACCACATATTGACACTGTGGCCGGGGAGTGATATTCATGTGATTTCTAAAGGATTGCATGCCAGAATCTTGAAACAAATCATACGACCAGAGCTATCAGCACTGAAAAAAGAGTCAATGTTTTGCAATGTTTGCTTCTATGAATAAACTACATGTTTCGTTCTTTTTGTATTTGGATTTGCCATTTGATTATTCCTTGAGGGTCAGTTGTTCAAGATAGTAAGTTTAGTTGAGGTTTGGATATCAATCCCATGTGCTGTGGTTAAAGGTAACATATTGATGCCATGAACAGAATGAGCTGTTGTGATAATTTTATCCAGGTGTAACCAAATCCTGGATGCGGTCCATTTATCCAGGTGAAACCAAACCCTGGCTGCGGTCTGGTTGTCTCTCCGCCATGTAATCAGGGGCTCCAGGTACGTGCCATTCCTTGTCCTGATCTCGACGTTCAAATAAGCAACTTATATTTTTTTACAAATACGTCGTTCAAATACATATCTGTTAGCGACTGACCTTTATTGTGTGAGACGTCT